GAATTTTTCTTGAATCATGTTAAAATCTGAGTATAGTTTTAAAATTTGGTTCCCCAAGTGTCTCATTTTATACTTTAAAAATAATGAAATATTTGAATCAGTAATTCTTTCAATTCAAACCTGTGCTTTCAATGATTTTTAACTAACAAAGTTATCTTTTCTTTTTTCCCTCACATTGAGTAAGAATTGAATTTCTGGCTCTGATCACATCCGCTGACTCTAATCTGTGTTTCATAAAAACACTCTCACACACACAGTGGTGTTTTGATTGACAGGGCATGCATGGAATCGATGATGAGGTGTATCTGAGTCTGCCCTGCGTGCTGAACAGCGGGGGCGTGGCCAGCGTGGTCAACATGACCCTGACTGATGACGAAGTGGCCCAACTGCAGGACAGTGCCAACACACTGTGGGACATCCAGAAGGACCTGCAGGACATCTAGATGACCACCAGGGGGAAATGTAGCTGCACCTCCCCGGCTGCAAATCAGCAACACTCACTCTGCACCTTCAGCTCCACCTCCACCCACTGCTCTCTGTAGAGTCACCGGCGAATGCACAGAGATCCTGATTCAGATTTAGCTGTAGAAGTCAGAGTTTGTTCACTGTTGTTCTCTGGAGACAAAACGTGACGTCAGCTGAGAGAAATGTTCGACTCGACTGTGCTGCAGTGTTGGGACCGTGTGTCACTCATGTTGCTTTGATGTGCAATAAAGTTTGGTAATGCAAGAAAAGCAGCGTTCAGTTACTCTGTGAAAGATCATGTGTTCATACTCATTCCAACATGAATACTTATCTTTAGACTACAACAGGGACTGTTCACTGAAGAAATGCATGTTGGGAAACTGGTTACTTAATTTAATTATAAAACGAGTGAATTCTCAGCAGTTGCTTCATTCAACTCAATATTTTTAATTAAAGAGGGCTTTTATGTTCTGACGATAGAGACCAGATATTTTAAGTTGAATTAACTTTATTAACACATGTATGAAAAATTCAATTAGATTCCTGCGTGTTGTTTTTCAATGTGTACTATTGTATTGCCTCAGTTTTAAGGTGAGCATTAGAGAGAAAAGACGTATGGGAGGTTTGGATAACGATGTCATGATGTAGTCATTATCAGACATTATCAGGATGCAGCAGGATACTGTCACCTCATCTAAACAATTTAGATGAGGCGTGGCTTTTTATCTAACCTCAATTGATTTGGCAGAAGATTTAAACTCCTGTTGCAGAACATTAATCCTTTGATATGATATTTCTTCTCTCAAACTTGGATCTGGGTCTGAATCACTTTTATTGTAAACAAATGTAAAATTAGCTGCAACAGTTCAAGTCTAAATGTAGATTTGTAAATCAGAGTTACATCTCTGTAACTACTTTATTATAAAAGATCATTTAAATGACAGATTATAAAATCTCCATTCAATAATTATCATGGTGATTTTTTTTTCAAAATTTGAATGGTTGCTTTTTCATAAATTGTTAATTCAAGAGCCCTTACATGTACAAATATTCTGATTGATGTTAAAAAAAATCAGGGTGAAACGTTCTGTTCCCCCGATGACCGGTGTTTGACCGATTCACGACCGGGTCCAGCTGCTCTGTCTAATAAAACTCAGTGGGCCGACTCCTCCATTGACCCCTGTGTGGACAATGTGATGATGTCTGACTGTTTAGCCTGGTGTTGATCACTGTGCGGTGAGAATCACATAATTGTCGCCTCAAGCTGACAAACTTTTTTTTTCCCTTGACAAGTTGAACCACAGTAAAAGGCAGAAATCTCCTTCAAGCTGAACACACACTGTAAATCTCTCTGAGGAGAATACAGATAAACACAATAAATTCAACACGGCTCAGAATTTAACAATAAAAGCTCACAGGTAAGGCAGTTTTATTCATCTAGCACATTTAATTTCAATTCAGGTCAGCAACAGTAATGTTTAGATGTATATAAAACATAATAAATACAAGAAAATGCAACAATATAAGAAAAGAAGAAACAACTTATGATGTGATCACAAATAGTTGAAATGCAGCTCCTCTTTGTCTGGATAATCGTCTAATTGGTTCCCACCTGAGGAAGAAAAGACAGATTTGGGAAAATAAACTTATGATAGATGATTGTCAGGAAGCATGTTAGTGACGTCTCTCAGGGTTTTACCTCCTTCCACGGCTCGCTGCAGAAGCTGCAGGAGGACGGATGAGGCCCAGGATAACACCAGTCCATCACCTCTCAGTTTGTGAGTCACTATACAGACACACAACATAAACATTTGGTAAAGAAACTCTACAGTTAAAACATGTTCTAGAAATAAATAACATGCAAACATCTATCACATATATATGAGGAGAGACTATATCTTAAGATCAACCTGATAGTTTCCAATAATAAATGTGCTGAAATATGAAAGCTGACATTAAATTTCATGAGATAAATATCTAGTTTCAGACGAATGATATTTTTATTCCACTTTCTAACAAGGAACTTTTTCTGAGAAATTGAATTAAGGAGTGGATATAATCATCAATTCATATTTCAGTTATAAGCCATTTGTTGCCAGTTTGTTAAACCTCCCTCCGGTTATTAATTCAAAAACAAGTGTCGCCCTGGAGGAAGAAAAACACCAGCGAGAGACATTTCCCAACCTGGCAACCCAGATGTTGTAATGGCTTATTATTGCTTTGTAAAGGATTTGTAAATAATTAAGCAGAATATTATTAAAGCCACTCGTTTAGTTTACCTTTATACAAATATACAGAGAATACTGCTTACACAACTTTAAATTACTGTATGATTGTCTGACAGTGAAACTGAAATGTAATTTATTTATGAATATTTTTAATTGTAAGGAATCTGTATGTCTGCGTTACATGTTAAACTCACCTGAAAGTAAAGTGTCATCTCTGTCTCTGCTGTTTCGCTGCAGCACTGAGCGGTGTCCCTCTGTAAAACACCAACACGGTTTCCTCTCTCTGTGCAGACACTTCACAGCAGCCATCTTTATCATGTAAACAAATCTGCTACTAATCACACTAATGAGGTTTTCATTAAGGAGATAATGAGCTCTAATGAGAGCGATGAGCGACACTTGTGTTTACCGCCTCATGTCAATGTAGCTGCTGTGGAAGAAAACTCAAAACGAGAAGTTGTGTTGGGAATGTGCTCTTACGTGCTCCTTTCAGGTATAAGATGGCCTGAGGAGTCCAGTTCCTCCTCTGGAAAATCAGTCAGACAACACAACACACGACACAGCATCATCTCACACTGATGTTTCTACACTTTCATTATTAAACCCAGAGATATGAGCTGCCACTCACCTGTGGAGCCGTCCAGCACTGAGTCACCAACGTCACCACAAACAACGAGACTATCAGAGACATCGTTGAACTCTGTAATGACATTCGATTTTTAAAATTCAACAAATTGAATGACTGATAATAATAAAAAATGAGGTACAAACTTATATTTTCCCATCAGTTGAAAACATTTAATTTGTATTTCCCTCATTTTTTTAAAAGAAAGAAGAATAATCTTATATAATCTGCTCCTCTTTTACAAGACATTAATTAGCCAAGCAAATAATCCAATAAAATATATCTAACACTAATGTCCACAGTGTGTAGACATTTAATAAATGGTTTATGACAAGTGTACATAGATACAGGACATTTAAAGTGTTGATTAATACACACTTAATACTTAACCAGATCATGTAGTTTCTCTAGATATTGTGATATTTTATCTATTTGTTTTGATTTATTCTATATTTTAGGTTAATGCAGCTGTGTTGTTCCATATTATTGTCATTAATCTGTTAATCAGCCTCGATGTGTGGGATCCTAAATACTCAACTTAATTACAGTGTAATAAACCACTTTTAATCATGCAAAATGACCAAAAACACAGATTTTATATCAACACACTTCACACACACATTGAAAGTAAAATAACACTAAAATCAATGAATTAAAATGTGGCATATATTCATACAAGCAAACTAAATGTTTGGAGAAAGTGAAAGTGTTAATAATAATAATAATAATTTATATTATCTATCATCACCACTTCCCTTTATATTGCAACTAAAAGTGCAAAACATTTGGTATAAATATATTTTAGACCATCTGTTAAGGGTCTATATTCTATATTCAGATTGTAAATATTGGTCCTTCAGGTAAAAAGTATAAATATATAAAAAGATTTAAATTCACACGTGAAGAAAAATCATAACTCATATCTGGTGAATGGAATAAGAAAACAACATCAATAACAACAACTAATAATAATGATAATAATGATATTATTAGCTTACCGTAATTTACTCTCCTGCTGGCTGCAGTTTGTGTTTAAATGTTGGATTTGTGCTCCTCTCTTTGATTATTTAACAAAAGAAACCCCCTCATCACCAGCGTCAGTGATGGGGCTGATGTTGAACTACATCACGTCACACATTAAACTGTATTTCAGCTGACGAGGATGACAGGTGCTATCAAAACTGTCGCTGCTCATTAACCACACACACGTCTGATTCTGAAACTTTGAAGTCGCTCATTAAAGCAGCAGCAGCTTCACTGGGTCACTGTCGACACTTCGAGACTTTATGAATGGAGCTGACGTGATGACAGCTTGTCTGTGGGCGTAGACACCTGCAGGACGCCTCAGGCTGGAGGTCGTGTAAAAGCTGCAGATATTTCTCAATTTATTGATGTTTTCTATAAAAAGAAGATGCCTGAGTCATTACCTGTCTACTGCAAAAGTAACTTTTGTACATCGAGTGCTGAAGGATTTATGTGAGTTCAAAACACAAGTAGCACTTTATAACACAGCCCGACATTCAGAGTCGTGAACAGAGAAGACAATGGACCCACCAACCTCCACACCCAGAAAAGAAAACAAATAAATGTGGTTACTTCCACCATGTTGTGTTCTGTCCATTAGTTTGTTTGTCAGCAAGACACGGAACTTGGTGGGAGGATGGGACATGGGTCAAAAAAGAAACTGTTACATTTTGGCAAACCCTAGATTTTTTTTCCCACTTATTTTTTGACATTTTCTCTGATTTCCCTGTGAATCATGTATTCAGGCGTGTTTATCAGTCTGATATTTATGAGTGTATGATAGAGTGTTCGTTTTGGCAAGGTATGCAAAATCCTTGAAGTCATTTTGCATCTGTTTGTAGATCTTTTCTGATGCCCCGCTATTGTCATTTTTTCGCTCATGTGTTTTTTCGCTCATGCTTGTAGTAGTTGTCCATCTGTCTGCAGTCAGTATATGTCCCTCAGGGGAACAGTGGCCCCCCAAACCAATATGGATGTATGGGGGCCTCTGCAGATAAAATGTGAGTACCGATACCAATATTTAGGCAGACATATGAATTTTCCTTTTTTTTTAAAACAGCAATAATTCCAAAGATGTTGTTATTAAACCTTTAAGACAAAGAAATGTAACCAAGGCTTTTTAGTTTTCTTTACAGTTTAACCATAAACTTTATTAAAGGTTCAGTGTGGAGAATGTGGTGATATCTAGTGGTGAAGTTGCATGTTGCAGCTGAACACCCCTCACCTCACCCTCTCCTTCCAAACATGAAGGAGAACCTGTGGTAGCTTCTGTTGTCATAAAAACTCAAGTGTTTAGTTTGTCCAGTCTGGACTCATGTAAAAAGAGTGAGAGCAACTTTGTTGTAAATACAGTGGGGAAAAACAATTCTACGAGGAGCAGATAAGTAACAGTTGTATATTTCAGTGGAAATGAGAATTATATTTTAACTTTTGAGTATTCCAACAACTCTGGGAAACAAAACCTTGTACCATTGTGAAGGAGTAAAAAGGTACAACAGATAAACAAACACATTTAAAACTGTTAAGACAAAAAAAAACACAAAAAATGTATGAAAGTCAGTTTATTTCAAGTTTGAATTTACAAAAGTTACAGTAAAACATCTCCACAACAAGATTCTTCTACCTTTAACCAACAACACTGGAGGTTTCTTCGCCCCAGTGACATTTAGCTCCACCTCATCACGTAACGTACAAAACTCCAGTAACACGTCATAGAAAAAAAGCTCTCAGTGAGTGTTCAGGCACGATCTGCAGGAGTTGCTGCTGTAAAAGGCCCCAGACTCTCCTGTGAGTTAATCCAGTGGTCCCACATTTTCAGTCCATAAATATCAAGACTGGAATGATCCAAAAAAGGGAGACCTGCTTCCAACCTTTAAAATAAAAACATCTATCCTGGTAACTTTGTCCAAAACTGTTTCCATCCGACAGACGAAACTTCCCGTCAGTCAAATGTCCACATACGAACTTTGTGCAGAAAAATAAATGATGATTCACAGTCATCGAGTGGCAATGACCAAAATATACAGTAACCGTTAGAAGCTACGATAAATACTGAAACTCTCCTCCAATAGGAAACAACCCACTGTTATACCATCGTGTTGCTCTCACCAATTTTATCCACCAGCTGAAAATGAAAAAGACAAAACAGGGTTAGTTACAGGCCACAGAGAAAATACACACACAGATGTAGACTGTATATTTTTAAAGATGATAGAAATACTATGCACTAACTCTCTGATAGATATAATAACCTCCAAGGAGAATATGTTATCGCCTCTGTCCTTTTGCTTTTTTGCTGATCACGTCATACAAAGATTACTTAAGAGATTTCCATGAAACTTGGTGGGAGGATGAAATGTCTCTGAACATTATGAGAAACATATTTAACATTTTCATTGTTTTCCCAGGGAAAGACTCTTGGATCAGGCATGTTAAGGGGACTTATATCAATAACATGTGAAATTCGATGCAGTTTGACTGAAATTTAACAACATTCTAGTTGTGTCTGTCTTCACTTCAGATAAAAAACTTTAAATCGTTCAATACAATTCTGCTTCTCCTTTAGTTTACAATTGTTTTGTACAGACTTGGTTCTGAAACAATAAAAGTGTTTCTCTGAAGAGGCAACAGATTTGTAAAACTGTGCTGAGACCAGTAGTGTGTCACAGTGTATCACATTCAGCACAGAGCTACACTGAGTGGATCATGTTGAACACTGACTGTCTTTATGAACCTGTGAAGGCCTCACACACTAACAGATTCAGAGGAGAATCCCATGAGGCCGAGTTCACAACAACAGAGACACTGTGCTGAAGAGGCACGAGAGAAAAACACTCACATTTCAGTCACAACCTACCTGTTATATTTGATACACAATTCTACTATGTGTAGACAAAGACATATCTCAACTGTAGCTTCTTCCACAGACGTTAACTCTTTCTCACCACGATGAAAGGTTCAGAAACCACTAAATTATATACAGGTCATATTTGCCTGGTTGTAGATCATAGAAATAATAATCTATTAAAAAATAACAGTATAACTAATAGTAACATCAACATGTGTAGAGCACGTTCATCTTTTAAAGTGAATATTTAAGTCAGCTCAGCTTCAACTACATGAACAACTTCAGTTAAATTCAGATTTATTTGTAAAGCAGTTCCCACCATGAGTGGGCACGTCCCACAGAACGTGATGAATCCTCAACTCTGTGAATCTCTAATCATTTAAATGTATGCTCATTTTTCATGGTTTAATTGCTCAACGTGATACTCACAGTACTGATCCCTGGTAAACTGAGCAAAGAGCCGAGCACAGGAACTCGTCTGATGAAGCCCACTGCCACCGGGAAGAATCCCCTGTTACACAGAATGAGGTGAAGGGGAAATCAGTTCACATTCATTCAAGAATATGACAAAATGACGAGTTTGTTTTCTGTCTGCTCCAGCTGACCTGAACAAGAGGAAGAAACCGTAGATCTCCAGAACGACACCGACGATCGGCCAGCCGATCAGAACCACCAACACTCCTCCCAGGAAGAAGCTGGTGGCTTTGAATTTGTGTCTCTGGAAGAAAAATCTGAACGTGCGTTCCAGGCCGATGACGAAGGACAGACCAGAGACGAACAGAATCTGAACAACAAACACAGAGACAATCACGGGTCAAGACATCTTTCAGTCAACACAAGGGAGATGATTGACAGTGTGTTGAGATAAGTGATAAACTCACATTTCCTATGGCGAGGAGAGCTTTATCGAAAAACAGCATCATCCCGAAGAAGAGGAAAAACACGCCAAACCCTGTCAGCCCCATGCCGATTTCTGGACACGTTAAGAGACAAATGAGTAGTTGGAGCTTACACATGGTTATATCATACATCCTACATTACTATTATCAAAACAAAAATGTAACTTCTGTAGTCAAAGCAACAGCTGTGGAGTATAACGAGGAGCATGACAGTTTTCAAACAATGGATAACAGAACTCTGAGCAAAATGTGGAGTGAGCATTAGTCACTATAAAACTTAATGAGTAGAACAGAAATAAAACTAATGATTAAACTCATAAGCGGTTAACTAACTGATCTTTTTTCCCAATTAATCAATTAAAGCATGTCTTCTGACTGATCATTTTGTCTAACCAATAGTTAGAAATAAGAACGCTGCCATCTTGTGCCAAACACGTAATTTGGAGCCAGAGTCTGTGCAAGAACATGACCAACTGTTAATCAGAATCAGTTGTCAGTCATGATGTCTTTATTAAAACCATCTTATCAGGAACAAGCACCTGAATGAAAATCTGTATGATAAAAAAAACTAGCCCTGTGCTCACTGGGCTCTTCCAGTAATCCTTCCATAGCGAGGACCATTGTATATTTATAAACAAAGTTTTATTGAATGAAGGAACTGAATAAAAACTAGGAGCCTGTATGAACAGTATAATGGAAACAATATAAAGTAAAAAATACAATGTAATAATGAAAATGTAGCGTAAAAATATAATGAAATAATGAAAACATATAAAGTAAAACATATAACATGTTATAAATACATATAACATAAAATATATATAAGTTATTACTACTTTATTTGTAAACTTTATTTTTATACGAGTTGCAATGACGTTGATACATGACGTCACACTGCTCTCAGCCAATAGCGTTTGGGCTCTGATCCTCACACATGAACCGGATTGAAAAGGTTGGAGAAACAAAGCAGAGAAACAGCTCGAGCTGAACTTACTCTGAGAGTCTGTGAGAGAGATCATGGTGACGTCAGTTGGAGAGACGATCAAAGCACTTGAAACTCAGCGGATCAAAGCCGCTGATTTGAACGTTGAAGCTCACGAAAGTGTTGATGCCTCCGCAGCAGTGGAGCAGCGGTTTGTTCCACAGACACGTCCCCCACAGCCACGTCATGACGTTATCCGGCAAAGATCGTCTATGAAAGGAAGCTGCTTGTTTACAACCTGCACTCGTGTTTGTGCTCAAACTTTAATTTTGTTTTATTAATTGGATTCCATTTATTTTCAACTTCATTACTTCGGACTTTCTTCATTGATTAAACATTATTTGTTACTAGTACACCTTATTACTCATTAAGAAGCTCTGATCAGAGCCTCTTTGTTTTATCTTTATGGCATTCATGCTTGTGGTTGGAATAAATTACCTTCAAATATCAGTTCCATAATCTGTTGTGTTTCCTTCATTCCTTACTTATTAACAGTTTGGTCTATTTTTTCTCTCTTTTTTTCTCTGTCTCTCTCTTGTCTTCTCTGTCTCTCTGTGTCTCTCTGGTTGTCTCTGTCTCTCTCTCGTCTTCTCTGTGTCTCTCTCTCTCTCTCTTTTTTTCTCTGTCTAGTCTAAGGTTGTAACTTCTGTCTTTACTTATTTCTGTCCCTACTTTATTCTCTTGTTTGTTTTGTATCTGCTGTGTGCTATATTATTGTCCCTTGTTTTGTTTGTAAATGTTTGGGGTCTTCTCTCTCCAGTCAAAGATACGTACATCTTCTATATAAGTGTAAAATATTGAAAGAATATAACAGGGTAAAAAAAAAACACTGAAAGCAGTTATAACAGTATACAATAGTAGCAGTAAGAAAATGTGTCAGTAACATAAATAACTGTATACAGAGAATAACATGGTACAAAACATTTGAATATATAATGAACTGATATTGACAAACCACTTAAAGCACATGAAGTAGTTCAAATTGTCTCACTGATCTGCCACAATAAATTTGTACAATATCACATCATTAATTACTGTATACGTAATTAATTACTGTATATTTGGAGGTGTGTGCAATGTGGTGCACCTTGATCGAATTTTAAGGAGATTTCATTCGTAGATGTAATATAGTTAGGCAGCAGCTAAACGGGTACAGCCCAAGGGTGAAGCCATTTCCTGTTCTTTCTGCTGGTGCTTATAAATTCAGTCCGAGTGAGACGTCTTCGTCTTGAAGGCCTCTCTACTGATGACGCAGCACGCCACGCACGCACTGCGCAGTGACGTGCTGCTCACAACCCATTCATTTATTCTCCTTCTGATTTATCTCCCTGTGATTTTCACTCCTGAGGACATCCGCAGCGGATTCACCAGCCGGGCATGAGACAAGCAGGACGCTGAGGACTCCTTTACCAGCGACGTCACAGGCGAACTACAACTCCCATGAGCGCCCGCGGTAACTTAGAGCACCATCTCGCATTCGGACGTGGAGTTGTCGAGGAAGCAGGAAAGGTTTCGCGCAGCTGCTCGTCTGCAGAAATGCTCCGATCACCCAGCGCTTCATAAAGAGACGCGTCTTTTCTCTGCGGCCACCATGGCGACAGTGTTCGCCATCGCCCTGGTGTTTGTCGGGTGCTGCAGCAACGTGGTGTCTCTGGAGCTGCTCGTCAGGTCAGTGGCAAACTTCTGATCACTTCACCGGCGTCATGTTGTTGTCACCTGCGTCTGTCTGCCCCCAACCTGCAGCATCCGCCCCGCTGTGGATACTGGGAATGAACTTGTGCACGAGGCGCAGAGTAGTGTCGTCATGCTTCTCAGGTTGTATAATTGGTTTTAATGTTTCCAGTCAAACGAGAGAATGAATCATCCCTGGTTGCACAAACCGTCTATTTCCTGCAAGTTATTTGTGTGAGAAAGTTTCCCTGATGACTTTAAATAGGTCAGAATCATTTTTTATTTAATCTGTATTTAATCAGGCAGTCACATTGAGATCAAGATCTCTTTTCCAAGAGAAGCCTGAGGACTTCAAGAAACATTCACTACAGCAACAAACAATTAATCACCAGCAACAACAAAACAACACAATACAAATAAATAAATGAAAACAGTCAGAAGATTTATTAAAACCATGGTAAAGGTTTAAAATCTCTATGGGGAACACAAGCCTGTAGATTGAGGGAAGTTTGTGAATAATTCCATTTAGCAACTCAACCACATCTCGTTCTTGAAATGTGTAACTTTCCACATAGATTAAAAATCAATCAATCAACATTAAAAACCTAGATTTCAGTCTTTGTTTCTAATCTCACTGTGGTTCAGAGTTTGTTTGGGAGCAGCAGAAAGTTGTATTTTCATTCGTTACAGTTATTGCTCAACAGTGAGTGTAGTGATTGACATGACTGTAAAATACCTGTCATCTTATTTCCACAGGAAACCAGACAGTAAATAAACAACATATTATAAGTAGTCAAGTGTTGTTGTTGTCTTCTCTTTCTTTAGACAGTTTCCAGGATGCGGCAACATCGTCACCTTCGCTCAGTTTCTATTCATCGCGTTGGAAGGCTTCATCTTCCAAACCAACTTCGGGAGGAAGAAACCCACCATCCCCATCAGGTGAATGTCAACCTCTCCCAGAGGGGTCAGAGGTCCGAGGCCCAATCACAGTATTGTGATATTGTGATGTTTTAAGCCTGACTACTGATGACTGCTTCTGATTTCAGGAGTTTTCTGTGGGAGAGAGGAGCTCCCTTTAATGTGGACTGTGGGGCTTTTAACTTTGCAGAAAATTAACTTACACAAATAATAACCCAAAACAAACTAGAGGAACAGGATAAACTGAAAAGAATATACCGCTGTAGAAAAGATAAACAGACACTCAAACAAACCTCTTATGCCTGTTTTTTCCAGGAACTATGTGATCATGGTGACAATGTTCTTCACCGTCAGCGTGATCAACAACTACGCTCTCAACTTTAACATCGCCATGCCGCTGCACATGATCTTCAGATCAGTACGAGCTTCACCTGTCACACAAACCCCACCCATCACCTCCACCTCAGTCTGACCCGCTGCTTGTTTCTCCGCAGGGATCCCTCATCGCCAACATGATCCTGGGGATTATCATCCTGAAGAAAAGGTACCAATGTGTCCTCTGACACTCGTCTGCACCATCACTGTGCACCCACGTGTAGAAGTGTTGTAGTTATTTGTGTCCCACCTTGTCTCTCTGCAGGTACTCAGCCAGTAAATATCTGTCTATAGTTTTAGTTTCAGCTGGAATATTCATCTGCACCATCATGTCTGCCAAACAAGTGGTGAGTCCACTGCACAACAGTCCCTGGTTCTCATGCAATACATGCTTTTACACAATGCACAGTTTTCTGTCTGATTATACTCAATATACGCAATTTTTACAACTGCTAATACTTTTTGTGACCTCTTGTTTTTCTTCCTGCAGAATGTGGCCTCTGAGGGATCAGGAGAGCAGGGATTTTACACCTTCGTGCGCTGGCTCATAGGTCAGTTCTGACTTACAAAACTACTTTTATTTGGGTCGGGGGTTATGATGATGATTTTCACCATCTACTGAGGTATGAGCTTTTGTCTTTATTCATCAGCTAATTGTTCGGTCAATAAATTGCCAGAGAATAGTTGAGATGTTTTATTTACAATGTCATAAAAGACTGAAAAAAAATAAACACATCTGCACGATAAGGAAGCTGGAACTCATGAAACTTTGGTAATTGATTAATGATAAATCAGAATTATTGCTAATTATTATTGATTGTTGACGGACTCTTCCAACCATTCGTTTTCAGCTCTCAGCTGCTGTTAGCTGTTTTAATGTCTAAGTTAACAAGTGGCCTGAGGGACAATTAAAAATGAGGCCCATCAGCATGATGAGTTTTCAGTAGTTATTACAACATCATTCCATGGTGGTTATTATTATTTCATTAGTATGAATGGTTCACTCCACAACCCATCTTACAACTCAGCTCTCATTTTGATCTCAACTACACTACACACAGTCGTGTCTCCATGGCAGCAGAGGACATTACACTGACTTACATTGATTTCCTCGAGACTTGTGATTGACAATAAGGGGGCTTAATTCGTGTCCCCATAAGGAGGACAAGTCTCCATAATGTGACTGTGTAACGAGATTTAGGTCCCCACAACATGAGGAATACTCAGACCACACACACATACACAAGTGAAACAATTTCCCAAGTGGTAAAACCAAAGTTTTTCTTTTTCATTTCTGCTCTTCGGCGGCATGGTGGTTCAGCGGTTGGAGCTCTCACCTCACAACTAGTAGGGTCTGAGTCCCTGTTTTAGTCAAGGCCTTTCTTTATGAGTTAGTATTTTCTCCACATACCTGGATTTCCTGTGTGTACTCCAGCTTCCTCTCGGTCCAAACACAAGCATGTTGGACTGATTAGCGACTCTAAAATCATTCCTGTATGTTGTGTCTGGCTTCTCTCTCCCAGGACCCTCAAAGAATAAGCAGTGTTGCTAATGGAAGGATTTCTGTTCTCCTAGGTATCGGCATGTTGACCTTTGCTCTCCTGATGTCTGCGAGGATGGGTATTTTCCAGGAGACGCTGTACAAGCAGTATGGGAAACATTCCAAAGAGGCTCTCTTCTATAATGTGAGTGTTGTTCTTGCTCGGACACGCAGGACGTGCACAGCACATTCAAATGCCTGCAGGGAAACTTCAAGCTTCCTCTAAGCCTCTGTCTCTCGCTCTCCTGTAAATGTCTCTTTTTCTTTTCTCTCTCAGCACTTCCTCCCTCTGCCGGGCTTCCTCCTCCTCTCCACAGACATCTACCACCACTGCGTCCTCTTCAGTCAGAGCGGTGAGTCGGGGGTGAAACGTTAATGTTTGTGACTTTTTCACTTTTCACACTGATGTAAATAAGCATCTCCTCTCTGCAGCTCCTGCGGTGGTTCCTGTGGTTGGAGTGTCTGTGCCAATAATGTGGCTCTATCTGCTGATCAACGTCATCACACAGTATCCTGCCAAAACAAAAGCTGATTGTTAATTGTCGACATGTCCGTCATTAAGTACAGCTGAGTGTTAGGGCCAATTAATGTGAAAGAAAATCGGATATTTTTAGTGATTTAAAAAAATTCTGGATCTTCCTCCTTATTTGGATCTGTGCCAAAATTTTAAGGGTTCTGTTCTTGACTCATGTTCCATCCCTCCATCAAGTTTTATGAAAATCTGTTTGTCAGAGTTATCCTGCTGACAAACAAATAAACAAATCAAAAAACAAACTGACGGGGTGAGAACATTAAATATACTGTGTAAATGAAGAAAAAACATCCTCAGGAGTAGAGAAATACTATAATTTGCTTTGGTAAATCATTAAGCAGATAATCTGGTTTTCACCTCTGAAACTCCACTATCTCCCATGATACCGTGTCACAAGCTCAAGAATCACTGCTCTGGAGGATAAAATCACAATTTATTACATTATTTAGGGTTACAGATTTTAGATTTAGATTTTCTCCTCATAGATGTGGCCATACACTCGAAACACACAAAACATCATGTAAATGTGACACCAACACAAAAATAATGATGATACTCTTGTTGCAGACCTTAACCAGCGTCTTCAGGTACGTGTGCATCCGTGGCGTTTTCATCCTGACCACCGAGTGTGCCTCACTGACCGTCACTCTGGTGGTGACACTGAGGAAGTTTCTCAGCCTCATCTTCTCCATCATGTACTTCCAAAACCCCTTCACCACCTGGCACTGGGTGGGCACCGCCGTGGTCTTCCTGGGCACTCTGCTGTACACGGAGGTGTGGAGCAGTGTGCGGACGGCTCTGCGCGGACCAAGCGCCAAGGAGAAGAAGGCGGAGTGAAGACAGACCTACTTGAAATACAGCCACTGTGTTGGACTCTCGGATTGGGTCAGCTGCCCTGCAGCAGTTTTTATAAAGTCATTTATTTTTGGTTATAGTAAAGCTCACACACACTCAGAAACATACAGCAGGTTAATGGGTGGTGATATTCTGTTTTTTGGTTATTAAAATTACATGAAAAGACAAAAACCTACAATGTATTAGTTCACCGCTCAAAACTGTCACTTCTCAGCCCAAAGAGCTTTTTGGACCTGAGGTCCAGGGAACGACTCCTGTGTCAGAGGCCTCTCCAGACCTGGTTCTAGGCTTCATTATTTTATATTGATCACACGATCAATATTTTTAATGAATCACATGAGCTGTTACCGAAAGAGGTCACTCAGAGATTAATCACCCAATTGTGCAGCATTTTGGCTTCATTCAGTTAAATATTTTAGTTTTTACTGCTCGTAACTGAACTTTTTGACTTCTGCTCCCATCAGCAGTGTTTTCAGTCGCAGTTTAAACCACAAAACTCTAAAATGACTTTACATCCCCTGCTCAGCGTCATGCAGCAGACACAGTCACTGACTGGCTGGTGATCATAGTGGAGAGTTCAGCAGCTAAATAAGCTGATATTTCCCTCGGGAGTTGGTGGAGAGCAAAAACAGAACTGAAACCGTTCCTCAAATGAATGTCAATGATGATCTTCATCTGTTATCTGCTAACTGCCTGTGGCCTGATTCATACGTAAATAACTCCAGGAACATTTCCCAGGAAAAATGAGGAATGACGTGTTTATTCTTATCTGTTTATGCCCAAAGCCTCTTCCATTCCCCACAGTGGTAACTGCAACATTAGCTAAGGTTCTTTTAAACCTGTTACCTTTAGTTGTGACTCAACTACAGTCTAACGTCCTTCTGCTCTCATCTGTTCATATCTGACGTTAGTTTAACATCATCGTTGTCTCAAACCACCTCTGCTCAGTACAGTGACCTCACTCCACTGACCTCACTCCACTATATAAAAACTGTTTTTTGTTGAAACTTGAAAATGTGAACTGAAATGTGAGTTGTGGTGAAAACGGTTATTTTGGTTGTATGTAGGATCTCAGCTCTAGTTACAGAGTGAATGCTAGAAACAGGACACTGACTGCAGTTCATGCAATGGCCTCTGGTTTCAGTAATAACTACTTTTCTGAATGTGAGATCCAGGACCTTTAAATACCAACTATTTTATCATATCAACTTAAAATTTGATATGTCAAGAATTAGTGGGATAAGTTTTTTATATTATTAATTTGCTTAATTGTCAATTTTTAAAGAGATAAAGTTCTCAAATTTGCTGCTGATTTTGGTTTGTGTCACAGTAAATTGAATATTTTGGGGGATTTTAAAAGTGTTTTCATTCAATGACTATCTCACTTTTTGCTCGAGGAGATTGTGAAGAACAGTTTGAAGTAAAATTTGCATCAATTGTTGGTTTAAATACGATTCACAAAAACATAATATCATATTTTTCAAAGGTTAAAAACATTTAAACATCTATATGCTATATAATGTTGGTGTCTGTGGGAATCAAAATACACCACAGAGGCTATTTTCATTTTAATTTCAGTCACAGTGTCGCTCACTGATGTTTTTTAACAGTGTAGCTCTCAGAATAATAAGTTAATAGGATCAATACGTTGTTGGTTTTGTTTTTTTGGATAACGTATTCGTATGATGGTCAATTTACTACACAGAATATCACCTAACAGTAACAGTAGTCATTTCTAAGTAGATGCCAAATTGTGATGCAACTTTCTTTTCCTTTGCATTTGTTCTTGGATTTGAGTATTTATTTGATAAGAGTGACAGATAATTGTCCTTGTGGATCAGGAGGATTTAACTGCCCACATTGGTGTGATGCTGTAAATCAGGACTGTTACATCAGTAGAGTTCATGGAGATGCTTTCACCGTGTGTTTTCATGTGTTCTTGTCATATTGTCTCAGGTGCAATGGACCAGTATGGACCAGTATTATTGACTGACATGTGGATAAACCTGCACATTTACACACCACTGAAAATAAAATGACAACATGGCTACAAATACAGATTATTCAACTGGTGTGACTGCATCTTGCACAAAGGGTGTGTTTGTTAAGAGAAATAATAATTTCTTATTTAAGAACACAATGTTCTCTTGCACTGCATTTGGCTGTAGGACCCAGGCGGCCAATCAGATGAGCTGTTGTTCAGCCGCAGCCAATAGAAGCAGCTGTAGTTGTGGGTCGGCGGTGGGAAGGGCAGATCTCAGTGTGCAGCAGATTGGTGTGATCCACGTTGTTTGGTGGATTAAGTATTTACAGTTGTCTCCTGGTTGACAGTCTGCTACAGAGGTGGTGTGGATGGGGGGGAACAGTCCGAGTCACCTCTCCCGAGAAGAGGGTGAGGCAGGCGGAGTAGCTTTTGTGAAGGGCATCCGGGTGAGTGAAAGCTCCGGGAAAACTTGGCATGGGATTGAAACTGAGACTTTAAACTAAAGGGTCAAGCACACACTTCATCCACTTCTGCATCAACACTGACCTGTGATCAGTTTCAATAGTTTCTAATCAGGATCAAAAGATGATTTTTTTATTTATTTCTAATTTCTAAATCAAACAATGAAACATTCTGCTTCATTTTTATATTTCCAACAGTAATCTTCATGGATGAGGCAACATTTTCTAAACTAACAGCTTTTTATTAGTAATAATAATAATAATAATGATAATGATAATAGCTGGTAAATAATTGTGTACACTTGCCCGCTGGATCTTGTGTATTCTTTCTACATCCTCTCTAGGTTTGAATTTAAACATCTTTACCTGAATCGTTTTTTAAATAGTCAATAGAGTAACTGCTGGAACTTAAGTATAAACCACTATAAAAAACAAAAAGGCCTCTGACAGAAAATAAACCATTTTGCTTTAGACAACATTAAAATATATTATTTCATGCATGCTGCAGTTTAGTTTTCCTAAATTATTATTTAAAAAAATAGTTGTGCTTCAGATGTGCTTTAATATTGTCAGTAATCCTAAAGTAATTATAGGCAAAGATCAATCTGTGACTTATATTGACCTCTGTCAGGGACATTGTGCTGTGTCAACTTTTAACTAGAGAAAATATGAGGTTGTGCTTCTCTCATTAAGTTTTCTAATTGTGTAGCAACAGTGGTAGAATTAACAAGATCTCATACTCATGTAAATATACCATATATCTATTTACTATATTACATGTCAAACTCATGCATTTAAAGGTCCAGTGTGTAAGATTTAGGTAAAAGGGATGTTTGGCAGAAATTGAATATAAATTATTCCTAGGGATGTTTTCACTAGTGTGTTTCTTCCGTTGTATGAATTATTGTTTTCTTTACCCTACAATGGGCCCTTTATATTTAAATACTTTACATTAACACTAGGAGCGGGTCCTCTCTGCAGAGGCTGCCATGTTTTTTACAGTAGAACAAACTGGACAAACTAAACACCTTTTGAGTTTTTATGTCAACATAAGACTACCACAGGTTCATGTTTGGAAGTGGAGGGGGAGGTGAGGGGTGTTCAGCTGCAACATGCAACTTCACCACTAGATGTCACTACATTCTCCACACTTGAATAAACATCAGTATGATAACAACTACTTAAAGTGATAAAAAAAAAAAACTTTCAGATGAATGTATTTGATGTATATACTACAACCAGCCACAAGCGGGTGATTTAAACATTTTGGCTTCACTTTTTGGGGAGAGGTGATGTTGTCATAGATTGTTAATACTGATGAATCAATACACATTTTGTAGGTGCAACAATTACTCGATTAATTAGTTGATGGACAAAAGGTTAATTGGCATCTATTTTGAAAATACACCTGATGAGCCCAGCAGGTGGCGCTCACCACAATAAATATGTGTGTTTCTCTCTCCAGCTGTCAGACCGAGTCATCAACCGGATGAAACAGCCTTCAGTGGTCAGCCCTCAGCTCCCACAGAATGGAGTTCCTCCTCCACACTCACCTGAATCTCCAGCGCCCACTCCACCCTCCGCCCCCTCTGTTGATGACATGCTGCCTCTCCTGACACCTCCTCCTGCTACATTCATCTCACCTCCACCACCATCCACGCCTCCATCAATGGAACCTGCTTCTCCTCCTCCGCCTGTAAAACTAGTGCCTCCTCCTCCTGTAAAGTTTCACTCCCTTCCTACAACTTCTCTGGAATCTGAAGCAACAGCTCCTGCTCCTCCTTCACCTGCAGAGACAAAAACTTCACCTCTACCTGACCTTGTTGTCTCAGCCCCACCTCCCCCTCTATCCTCACTTTCTCCACAAGTCGCAGCAAATCTGGAGCCTGCACCTCCTCCTGCAGCAGGGCCAGTCGATCTACCTCCTCCTGAACCCCTCGTCATAGCACCAGAAAGTCCCACTTCTAGACCACCTATTGCAGAACAAGTCGTCGAACCTTTTGTCCTTCCTCCACCTGTGGAGTCACCCCCATCAGCTGCAGCTCCACCTGAACCTTCAGCTCCATCTCTTCTCTCTGAAACTGTGAAACTAGCTTATCCACCTGCTGAACCTGCTGCTCCTGCTGCTCCTGCTGTAGAACCTCTTGAAACTGTTGTCTCTTCAACCCCACCTGTTGAAGCAGTTAAACCTCCACCCACTGTTGAACTTGCACCTGAACCAACAATCCCATCCTGTCCTGTTGATCCAGCTCCAGCTGAAGGCTTGATTTTACATCTTCAGGTGAAGCCTGTAGTCCTGCCTCCTCCAGCTGAAGAACTGACTCCAGCTGTGGTTGATGCTCCACCTCCATGTGAACTGGTTTCATCTCCTCCAGCTGTAGAAGTGACTCCAGCTGTGTCACCAGCTGTTGATATGCCTCCTCCACCTGAAGTAGTGACTCCAGTTGTTGCTCCAGCTGTTGCTTTACCTATTTCAGTTGTAGAAGTGACTCCAGCTGTTGATTTGCCTCCTCCAGTTGTAGAAGTGACTCCAGTTGTGGCTCCAGCTGTTGATTTGCCTCCTCCAGCTGTAGAAGTGACTCCAGCTGTGGCTCCAGCTGTTGATTTGCCTCTTCCAGC